CTAACCATCCATCATCCCATTCCATTTATCCATCCATTCATCCCATCCATTCATCCATTTATCCATCCATTCATCTATCCATCTATCCATCCATCCATTCATCCATCCATCTATCCATCCATCCATCCATCCATCCCATCCATCCATTCATCCATCCACCCACCCATCCATCCATCCATCCATCCATCCAACCCACCCATTCTCTTTTAATATATATGTGTTCTCTTCAGTACTAGTCAAACTCATGCGAACATAACTTCTTTAATCCTCAGAAATATGCTGGTTTCCAAACGCCATTCCCAGGAGCCATGACGCCAGGGTTCTCAACACCGTCAGCAGACCTTGACCTGAACATGATAGGAGAAGCAAGGAAGTCTCTTGTTGGCGTCAAACTGGACCAAGCGTCTGATTCAGTTTCCGGGCAGACTGTGGTGGACCCCAAGGGATATCTGACTGACTTGCAGAGTCTTACACCTCTTAGTGGTGGAGATATTGGGTATGACTTCAGACTTATCCTACTATTGTATCCTAATTGCCCTATTTCACTATGATGTTACTGCTTGTTTATGTGGGGGATAGAATCGCCAAATCCAATAGAAAATTCAACAAAATTTGCTCCTAGCGAAACAGTTTAATCTAAAATGGCCTGGTTTTCAGATATAATATGTGTTAATATGTACTAAAAAAAATTCTGAGCGTTTGCTGGCTATTCTACTTCTCTTCATGGATCGATACGGGTTTTAGAACAATTTTCAGTGAATTTGCATTGATTTGACCCCCTGCGACGATCATGATCCTTTGCGTTTAAACAATAGATTGTTTTGATGTGACGTCATAGTGAATTAGGGCAATTTAGAGGCACATTAGCATGAATGTACAGTTGGAGCTTTTATAAGCAGCCACCTCAGGAAATCGAAAAAATGGTTGTAACTAGAGCTGGTCCCTTACGAGATTGTACTAACAAGTGAACTAACAATCAATTAACAAACTCAGTAATAATTGATCTTTTATGTCAAGGATATGTGATACTCATGGATTTGATCCTTATATCTCTTTTCTGAGGTTCCCTTAACACACACTATCAATACAATACGATGCAAACACCTTGGAATTCCACGGACCTTGACTGGAACATGTGAATATTCTACACAAAATCGAGGCTAACCCTGTGTAAATGAGTCTGTAATTGAGAAACACAGCGGTAATTTGGAACTCGAATATGGTCTATTCTTGTCACAAATCGATTTATTAACAATCGATTCTGTTACCCTTCTAGGGACATCAAGAAAGCAAGATTGTTGTTAAAGTCTGTTATCACTACCAATCCACAACACGCGCCAGGTATTACTATAATAAAGAAAAGCATTGGAAGGGCTCTTGCTTGTCTTGGTGCTAATTCCTTACCATGTCTCTGAGTTCTTCCCATGCAAGACCTGCCCTACCCTATACAATAAGAGATCGCAGTGAACAAGAAAGTTTTAGCTTCTAAAAGATTATTAACATTATAATACACTCAAAAAAATTACTCGATTCTATTGGACAAGAGGAGTACTATTAAATCCCTCATAGTACACTCAACAAAATTACTCGACTCTGATTGGTCGAGAGGAGTACAATTATAGCGTTAATTGTACTCCGTAGGAATACCGAATTAAGTCGCTATGGCAACACGGCCAAATCAATGTCAAAACAATTATTTCCTATCATTTTGTACTTAAAAAACATAAATAAAACATTAAAGCCGTAAGAACTAATCTTTTTTATGCATTTCAGTTGCGTGATGGACTGAAAATCGGCCACCAAATAGACAAAGATGAACGGCGTCGCTTCGCATTTTTTACTGAAATTTTGTTGAGTGAACTATAAGCAAAAAATCGCACGATCTTCTCGTACAATTTTGAATTAATAGACACGAGTAATGTTTTGAAAGTTCTTTAATTGCACTCGCCTAAAGGCTCATGCAATTACAAGAACTTTCAAAACATTACTGGTGTCTATTACTGCCAAATTGTACTCGAGATCGTGCGATTTCCTATACAAATTGTACTCTGTAGAGTCCTAATTAAGATACTCAATTTTGTCGAGTGTTTTATAAACAAAAAATCCCACGATCTTCTCGTACAGTTCAGAATGTATAGATACTTGTGATGTTTTGAATGTTCTCAAATTGGAAACTTTCAAAACATCACTCATACCTATAAATTCCAAATTGTAATCAAGATCGTGCCATTTCCTATACTAATTATACAGCTTCTCATTAATCCCATATAGGTAACTGTCCAATTATTTTCTWAATTGGACAGGTCTTGTTGATATGGGATTAATTAGGCAGCTATATAATTAATAGGTTATGGGATTTCATGCTCCCCAATCAAGAAATTATTAGACTCGAAAAATTCCTCTGACTGCCAAATTGGACTTGGCCTACGGCCTCATCCAATTTTGTCAGTCCTCGGAATTTTCCTTGTCCAATTATTTCTTAATTGGACAGCATGGAGTCCTATTACATATAATAATTTAGCACAATTAGTTGCAATTCACTATACAATCCCATAAAGAGATTGCTTTGTAATTTACAGGTAAAGAGGTTATGTAGATTCCTGACTTTTTGCGCCCCTTCTCAGAATTGTTGCAGCTTTTCAACACATAAATTATTAGAAATTGCCTCTAAATTAAAACATTTTTTCCCCAGGATGGATAGCAGCTGCCCGTCTAGAGGAAGTCACAGGTCGTATGCAAGCAGCAAGGAATATCATCATTAAGGGGACAGATGTATGCCCTAAGAATGAAGACATCTGGTTAGAGGCCGTCAGATTACAGGTACCATAAACACTATAAAGATATTATTTTATTGCGGATTGATAATAACTTCAACTACCTTGTTTCCTGTAGCCACCTGAGTCTTCCAAGCAGGTTGCAGCACAAGCTGTCCGTCACCTGCCACAATCCGTCCGCCTCTGGATCAAAGCTGCTGAGCTGGAAACAGAAACTATTGCACAGAAGAGAGTCTACAGGAAAGGTAGGTTCCTTTTGGTTATCGTATGAGTGGGAAACATACGGTACTGACTTACAGCACGTACACGGCACGACATGCTGTGACATTGAAATGGCTTCCCATAAGAATGGTTATCGTACGAGTGGGAAACATACTGACTTACAGCACGTACACGGTACGACATGCTGTAACATTGAAATGGCTTCCAATAAAAATGGTTATTGTATGAGTGGGAAACATACGGTACTGTCTTACAGCACGTACACGGCACGACATGCTGTGACATTGAAATGGCTTCCCATAAGAATGGTTATCCTGCGAGTGGGAAACCTACGGTACTGACTTACAGCACGTACACGGTACGACATGCCGCAACATTGAAATGGCTTCCCATAAGAATGGTTATCGTACGAGTGGGAAACATACGGTACTGACTTAAAAATACACGGCATGACATCCATTAACAGTGAAATGGCTTCCCATACCTTCTATTAATAATTTATAATTACCATTATTATCTCAGCCCTAGAGAACATTCCCAACTCAGTTCGAATATGGAAAGCGGCAGTGGAGCTGGAGGAACCAGAAGATGCAAGAATCATGTTGAGCAGAGCTGTTGAGTGCTGCCCTACAAGTGTAGAGGTACATACTTAACCAAATCGTCCATGTTTATTACACCCCTTACACCCATAATTACGCGACCTTGACAGCTTCAGACGTCTGCAGTTTTGAATTCTGTCAATAAAAGAACAACTTATATTTTACAACCACAACTCCCCATGCGGGGCTCTTCCGTGAGGTTCCCTCCACACGCACTACCACTACATTCTTTATTTACAACATACAACATTCAACTCACATGTTGCTTTTTACGGAGGGAGGAAACCGGAGATCGTGGAGAAAACCCTCGTGGCAAGGGAGGTTAACGACTAGACACAACTGTCTTTTTAAGTTTTATAGCAATATTCATCTGCGTTTGAAAAATGTCTCTTGCGTAAATGGCCCTTCATTCTTACTTGTCTATTGATCTCTTTTGCAGCTTTGGTTGGCTCTTGCCAGACTAGAAACCTATGAGAGTGCAAGGAAGGTAAGTTCGGAATGTATCAGCATGATTGACAGGTCATAGTATAGGGGGAGTGGTCTATAGAGTACTAAAGTGTGATTGTATCAGCATGATTGACAGGTCATA